GTTGGGATTTCTGCAGCATGACTGGTTTGTGCCACTAACTCCACAATCATGCACAGCACTGCCCTAATAACTGCAAATCCATTCATCTAAGAACATTTTATTACATTGTTTTTATAATTTAAGATCTTTCTGGGAGTCTGTTATCAGTCTTAACAAATCACCTAGCCTGATGCTTGTGGGCCTCATGCTTTGTAACTTAGATTCATTTTCTTCCCACTTAAATGTTCATGCTCATGGCCATCCCCTGCTTTTAGCACAGGCTATATATACTCATTCCCTTTTCAACAACTGAGATATCTATTCATGACCTGATCAAAGCTTTTCCGATTTTCACTAACCACTTATGATTGTGTTTTATTCCTTAGACATTTGATGTGTTTCCTTATAGCTATTTATTAGTCATCTCATACGTGTCTCATACCTCAGAGGTCTCAAATCAGGGCTGCTGATGGAATTCACATAGTAGGCCATGAGCCAGAGTCTCCCACAGAAATACAGAAGCAATAGAAAAAAACTACTGGGTACTTTCTGTTCTGTTCTGCTTTGTTTTGTTGAGATGGGGCTTCAGTATGTAGCAAAGATTGGACTCACTCCTAATCCTGCTCCCTTGTCTTCCCGAGTCATGGGTTTGTAGGTCTGTGCCACTGCACCTGGCTTAGAAGGCTTTAATGAATAGTTCAAACCATGTGGTCAGCCCTTAGAGATTTAAAAGCTTTAGTAGCAGCCAGTCTTCTTTTCAAGTCCTGGTAACTCAACTCAGCAGGGGATGTTGCCCAGGTGGGCTGAGGGACTAGGAGCTAGATGGGAAGGATTGGTACTTAGAACCAAGGCCAGATTTAACAGGCCAGTGAGGCTTTGGAAAGAAATATGAAACACATTGGCTTTGGACTCATGCCTGGGTTCAAATTTAAGTCCAAGCACACACATCAGCAGTTGCCTTGTATTTCCCATTGTCTTCTATTTAAAACAGAAACCATCACTGCATGGACTATTGAAAGGGTTGGATGAGACAGCCTGTAGAAGGCTTTGTGGGTCTCAACTCACAGCTGCTCAATGACTAGAACTTATTATCATTGACTATGAGTTACAGTAGCTTGTTTTCCATCAGAGGTTAACAGCTAAATGAGAAATCCTAAGCCATAAAATATTTCTAGGTAGGCAAACAGTTTCTTATGCTGAATTACCTGGAATTCTTCAAGTAGCAACCTATCAAATCTTTGGCAGTTGATTTGACTTCTGAGGAGAATCTTTAATAAAACAAAACTTTCTTCTCAGCTAATGGCCACAGTGAGACTCACCCTGTCCTTGCATCCTGCAGAGATCAGGGAACAGAATTCCAAGGAGAGACGCAGGTATTTTGGTAACTTCAGACAAACTGTTTTAAACACTGTAGGCAGTGAGGTAATGGAAATTGAGACACACTGAAAAGCACGTATGCCCCAAGAAAACCTCAAAACGTGTAATACAGTGTGACATCTGGATAACCTATGTGGCGACAATGATCATTTCAAGATTTACCAATGTCTCGTATCTAAATTTCATGAATACACAGAGGTGTGGGAGAGCATGAGTGCACGTTCATGCATGTATGCAAACACACGAGCACACACACACACACACCTGGACCCTTGTGAGGTGTTGTTTGGTCTTTGATTTGGTGAACTGTTAGACAAGAACTTTCTTACAGCAGTGTGATTTAAGTTGACATTGAGCTTGAAAGCCTTCTCTTCGTAAGTTTGCAGGAAGAAAGCCTGATGCTATTCTCATACTCAAAGACAGAGCTCTTTACAGAGAAGCATTCTTAGGTGTCTTGGACTAGAAAGTGTTCACGAATCAGCATGTGTGGTTGCTGAGAAGGCTCAGCAGCTAAGAGCACAGGCTGCTCTTGCAGAGACTCAGGTTCTATGGCAGCTCACAACTGTCTGTAACTCTAGACTCAGGGGACCTGACACTCTCCTCTAGGCACCCGACTTCCTTGTGATACACAGAAATCCATGCTGGCAAAACATCCATACACATAAAACAGGTATTTTTTAAAGGATCAACATGTATTGCAATCTCCTGTACTGTAAATCTTTACATTTCAAAACACTGGTCTGGGTCTGATTAAAGTGTGTCTTTCACCTACTCACAGACAGGTATCTGGGTCTCTCTGTCAAATCTGAATAAAATCCCTGCACATGTAAGAAAAGTCCATGACTGAAGAGACCATTTTAGCCTGAGTATCCTCAATCTCCGTTGGCAGATGGCACCAGATTCTCGGCTGTGGCCTTCTGTCCAACTCCTTTGCATTCATATTGGTCAAAACCAACCTCTAGGCTCCAGAGAAAAGTAGGCTCCTTCAGTCACCACTGGCTTGGAATTCGGCTACCGGATTTGAGGAAGGAAGGGAGAGGGGTGTACCAAGAAGAACTAGCTGGGTGAAATGCTGGGGAGCCTGGGGACTGTCTCCCATCCTCAGCCCACTGTGCATCAATCAGGGTAGCCTGACACTGGTGCAGTCTCTAAGACAAACTCTTGACCATGTGTGGAGAGGGAAGGAGGGGTCAGGTCTGGATCTGACAGTCACAGTGTGGTGCCAGACCTCCCTCCTCTGGTGTCAGCTTCTTTCTTAGACCAGAGGTTAGGAGTGGATGATTCTTCATAAAGATGGTCCAGTGTGACCTTGAATAGAGCAGGATTAGCACACACTTGGGGTTAGGGAGATAGTCCAGTGGGTACAGTGCTTACTGTCCAAACAGGAGACTGGAATTGGGATCCTGAGCATCCATGTTAAAGCCTAAGTGTGGCAGTGTGCCTATAACTTCTGTAACCTCAGTGCTGGGAAAGCAAGACAGAAGCCTGGGGCTTGCTGGCCAGCTGATCTAGCCACAGCCACCAGCTCTAGGTTCAGTGAAAGACCCTTTGTCATAATAGGAGGAGAGTAATAGAATAAGACATCTGACCTGGACCTTTGGCTTCCACATGCAGTCATTGGCACACACCCACACACAGGCACACTCGCGTGCACACACACATACACACACTCTCCAACACACACACTCACACTTAGAAAGTAATATACTTGTGTCTGGAGTTCCATTCTGATGGAAGCCGGAGGCTAACATTTTCTTCTTTGCCCTGCTAACTAGGATGGATAGCCACACATTTCTCTTTTTTTTTCCCAGAGCTATCAAGGCCTAACACTCATCACTCAGGGTCCGGCTAGAGATCACTTAAAATGATAGCAACAAAGGTTGACTGAACCTTAAAGCTGAGAACGATACAGGCAAGCAAATAACACAGGAATTAAGCCTGAAGGTGAATTTGATCATAATTATTTATCATGGTGTGCTTGAAATGTATGTGAATGTATGCTCCATTTAGACGTAATCAATTTTATACTTTACAATAGTTGCTTATCAAACAAATCAGTTTAATACTCACATTCTGTTTGTCTGATGTCATTAATCACACTAAATGACAAAATTGATATGTTTGAAGCACAATACAATATTTTCAGGTCAAGATTACCTTAGCTGATTTACACAGAACAAAACTAAAATGCTGGATTCTCGGAAAGCTGAGCTAGGTCTGGAGGGACTTCTTAGAACCTTTGCTCTCTGAGTTAATGTTTTACTTCAAAGAGCCCTGTTCATGTTAGCCTATAAGCTTCAGGCTTTTCTTTGGGAGGGGAGGAGGAGAATGAGGAGAAAGAAGAGGAGGAGAGAGGAGAGTGCTGGAGTGTGTGTGTGTGTGTGTGTGTGTGTGTGTGTGTTTGTGTACAGAGGCCAGAGGAGGCGCTTGGGTAGTGTCTTCAACTGCTCTGGACCTAATTTCCTTGCGTCAGGGTCTCTCCTGGAACCTGAAGGTTGCTCCTTTGCCTTGTGGGTTCCCAGGAATCCACTCATCTCACATCCTCCTCACATTCCTAAGGCGGGACTCAACCTCAGCATCTGCATCTGTAGAGCAAGGAGCTGAGAGAGTTTTCACTGAGGTCTCTTGGGGCATGAATTTTGCATTGACAATCCATTGTAGAACAGGATGGAATAATGGTTCTTTTGTCATTCTCTTGGGGCTGTTACTGTCGCTGAGAATCACGCAGACAGATGCAGGCATCACAAGGGACGAGTGACAATGAGGTCTAACTGAATAATGGTTATGTTTTGAGGCTCTAGCTTCCTTAAAGGGTAAGAGTATGATCTTCCGTGACGTTTTGTTTTGAGAAACAAGCGTTTTGATTGTTGGGTTAGGGAGGATAGAAAAGTGCAATACTGGACGCATTTTTAAATTTAGAAGCGCTCGGTGTACTTTTGTTCTGCCTGCACACTGGGCAAAGTACTTAGGTCTGGCTGTGTCTTCGGGGTAGAGCTGCGAGGTGTGGTGTTGGGGTCAAAACAGGTTTGACTGCTAAGCTGGCACCGGTGCCGCGAGCCTTCAGGGGAGGGCCAGGGCCAGGACCAGGAGACAGATCACCTGCGGGGCTGGCGCCACACTGCAGCACCGGGCGAGCCGCGCCTGCTCCCACGTGGACGGAGATCAGGTGATGTCTCAGTCCAGGTGGCTCTGGGGAGGTGGGGCAGGACAGGGAGGCGGCTAGCTCACTTAGCTTCCCTACTTGGTGGTCTAGATCTTGCTGGCGAGGTGGCACCGCGTGGGTAGGGTGCCGGGTGGGAGTGCGAGCGGTGGGTGACCCACCCCTTCGGGTCTCTCTGGTTATGCTTGGGACAGAGCTCTGTTGGGCGGAGGTAGCCCTTGGCGGTGCCAAAGCGGAGGGTTGTGCTCCGTAGTCTCCGTAGTAGACTCTTGGCTTCACTTGCACGGTGCGGGCCGCGAACTCGTGAGCAGTGCTGGGCCGGCTAGGGGGTGCGGGGGGGCTGCAGGGGGAGGAGCCGGGACCACGGCCGAAGGACGTCTGCCCTCCTCCGGGAGAGACGCTGTCCCCGCTGCCTGGTCACACCGCACCTTTTCGGGCTTAGGCTCCCTCCCGGACGCCAGCACCCTGGGGAGCAGCACCCACCCCGGGAGCCCGGGCTGCGGCCAGGGGCATGAGACCGGCCAAACGCCTGCGCCTCCTCGGCCGGGGCCGCGCAGACTTGCGATGGCAGTGAAGCTGGCCCGCCGCAGAGTAGGGTAAGTGAACATCTGGAAGGTGGGTGTCCTGCTAGATGCTGTGATCTTTTGACTTTCCAACCCAGGAAAACCGGAGTTGCAGCAGTTAATTTATCTAACATTTCACAGCCGTCCGTCCGTCCGGGACACATCCTCACATCCTAGGTCCCTTAATTGAGCCGTTAGCTCCACCTCCTAATCTTGTTTCGAACCCTTAAAGTATTTCATTGCAAGATGCATCCTCTTCCTCCCCACCTGAAGAGTGAATGAAGGTTTTCAGGTAAGGACACTACATGCGCAAGTCAAGCCGTCAGGCCTGTGCTGAGTGTCAGGCACATGATTAGCAGAGTGCCTGTACTCTTGGAAGCAGTGGGAGGCTGAATCTTGAGGGGAAATGATGCAAATGAAAGAGAAATGAAAGAATAGACAGTGGGAGCCCAGCTGCTAGAGAAAGCTCCAGAAACAGGCGTTTCTCTTCTGTCTCTGCTTTGGCCTCTCCTTCATCTTTTAATGAAGGTAACATAACATCATAAACTAGTGAATAAGCTGTCCACCTCTTTTGAAAGGTCTGCTGCTGCCTGTATATAATGAGATGGAGATTTTTGATAAAATTTCAAGGGGTAAAGAATCTACTTTTATTATAGCTAAGCCCGAGTCAAGATCAGCAGGTGGAAAGTCCATTTTTCCTTTGAATGGGATTTTAGTTCCTAATATAGCTATCTTGTATGTATAGATGGGAGATGGTGTTATTTAAGTACAGCAAGAAGGTTCTGGAAAAAATAGTAACTTCAGATTTACTCTTTTCTTTCTTTTTTCTTTTTGCTGTGAAAGAAAAATAACTTGAGGAGCATTCTGAGATACTAAGGGTACTTTAAACTTGTGGTCTGCCCTCCAGGCAATTTCAATATTATGTCCAAATGCCACTCCCGACAGAAGCCAGGTTCTGATTGGCCACTTCAGTTCGAGGAAGCTCATTGTTTGGAATTAATATCCTGTTTCTGTCGGGAAGGCCGAGTTCACATCGAGCTGACATCTAGCTCCGTCTCCTTAGTCCTGCCCTAGCCAATACCCTTCCAACTTCCAATATTACCTTCAGGATTTCTACTTCTTTTTGAAAAGAAAATCTACAACTTTAAATCTGGAATTCAGCCCCCTCACTCATTAAAAAACAAAAAAAAAGAAAGAAAAGAAAAAGAAAGAAAGCAGAGGAAACAGTAGAGAAAGGAAAGGGTTGTAGAGATTGTAGTGATAGAGTCAGTTTTTGTCTGTTTTAGCTGTCTGCTTTAAGGATGAAGTTGTTTATCCACACAGTGCATACAGGTGCTCAGAAGACAGAAAATGTTACATTTCTTTAATGAGTAACCATTAAACACATCAGCTTATCCTGCCTTCAGCACATGACTGTCTACCATTAAGCAAAACTCTGAGCTTGACTGAAAATTCACACCTCTTTGTTGTTGTCACGCAGACTTTTTTCCTCTAATCTGTGCAGCTTGGAGGTTCTTGAGCAGACCTTTCTTGTTTTATATTACTTTAAACCTCTAATTTCCACTTTAATAGATCTACCTCAGCTTTGATTCTGACATTCTTTGTATCAATTCTACACATCTGAGGAATTTGACATTCAAGTCAATGTCATGCACAGGACAGGCTCTTTTATGTTGAAGGTTGTGCAGCTGGAAGCCAGTGGCACAGCAGAGATGGCTCCAGGATTTTGGAGTCTGGTACTTATTATTCCTTTTCCAGAAATCAGGTTAATGGCATCTACTTTCAGGATGATTGCTGAAATTCCAAGTACTGAAAAAGCCAAGAAAAATAGTGGCTGGAAATCTAGTTGGTCTCTAGTAGATATTGCTCAAATTAGTGAACCAGATGAATCTGCACTTAAATTGTTCTAGTTCATAGACTGGTCTTTTTTTTGTAAAGGTTTCATGAAAGCAAAGTTTAATCAAGTGCCTTGCTAAAACCAGACTCTAAGTTTTCCTTGTGATTTATGAGAGTAACCAATCACTTCCAACTCCTAGAAATACTGACCACTGCCCCTGCCCAAGTGTTGCTTGCTTGTCTTTAATTTTACCAGAGATTGATGTCAAACTGGACTATAAAGCTAGGAATTCTATTCATTTTCTCCTGTATTTAGCATTAGAGACTAACATTTGGCAAATTTGTGTGAGCAACTGCAGCTTCTTGAGACCTTCTTCTCATAGGATTTTGGGGGACTCTCGGGACGTTCCTGTGCTCACAACCCCAGGTTCTCTTGGGTGCCAGAGTCTGAGTGACTGGAATAGGAAGGCACAGGCAGTCTGTCTTCAGCTGGTTCCTCAGTTCTCTCTCGTCTTCCATCCTTTCCAGCTAAAGCTCACAAGGCAGGAAGACAGCTGCTTGCTTTTTCTAACACATCACCTGCCTTTTGGGTTCTAGGACCCTGTTAACTAGTGCCCATGTCCACATCATGTGCACAGTGAAAACTATGCACCCAATTGGGGTGTTGGTAAGTTCAAAGTGTTGGTAGTAGTATAAACTCTAGACAGTGTGTGGTATGGAAACACTATATTTTAAGAATTAATTCTTTAAAATGAAGAGTGACAAAATCACATGTTTTTCACAAGAGGTTGAAGGTAACAGATCCATGAAGCAAAACTGCAAGACACAGGGATGTCACCAGAGTCTTGGGAAGTAAAGTGTATGTCCTCTCTGGAGCTATCTTCATCAGAACATTTGTAGGCATTTATCTGTGTCCAAACACATCTACTCTCTGGCCTTTGTATAAGAACGCCCTGAACAAAGGAGAGCAGAGTGAAATCCACTGCATACTCTCAGCATCTAACACACTGTAGACACCAGGTATGTGGCTAGTGACCATACTTTAATAAACACTCAAATGCTTTGATGTAGGGAAATGTTCTGTGTCAAAGAAAAGGGAAATGGGCTTCTACTAGTAATGAACGTTCTCACTAGGCAGACAATACTTATGGTTTCAATGGTCCAGACTCCACTGCTTGGTGCTTCTGGAGCAGGGTCAGGGGAATTCTGGGAAGTCTGTAAAAAGGAGCTGGATCTCCCCCATCTTTGAAAATAGCCTGTAGTATAGTTAGGGAAGTAGGGAGAGGGTGCTAGGTACTGACAGGGAGATGGGGTGCTCCAAGTTATGGACTAGAAGGACTAGAAGACACAGGAGGACATGGATCCTGGGAACAGGGCAGCTCCAAGGAGAAATGGGAAAACCAGTGCTTTTAAACATGTTTCAGTGAACCTTCTCTCCCCTGAAATACTGTACCATCAGCCACAAGCAGCAGGAGATGTGCTAAGTCCTTAGAAGAAGTATCAGGTATGCATTATGAAAGAATTGTTAAACCTTAAATAGAAAATTTTTCTGAGTTCTTGGTCTCTGACCTGGAGTCCAAGTGCATTTGAATCCTGAGTTATCCTGTGCCTCCAAATAAGAGTGACGTTGCTTTTCAGTGTTCAGTTCAATTAGACTGCTGTCTGGAAGCTTAGCCATGCTTGGTACTCAATCCCTTCTTGTTATTTGCACCTCCTACTTGTTCTAAAGTATCTGAATTGGTTTCACTTTGTAACATAATGCCTAAAATTGAATTTAGAGAGGAAGAAAAAAAACTTCTTTGCTGTCTTGTGAGTGAATGGTGCTTGAGAATCCCATGGCTAAAAGGCATTGTGATGTAAGATAATCTTATCACATGTATATGCAACACATGTGATTCGAGGGGCCTTTAGGATTGGGTCTGAGATTCTAGATCATTCTTTCTTAAGCAATTGGTGAGAAGCTACATCTCATTTTGTTCCAGGGCTGTCTTAGTTAGGGTTCCCTTTGCTGCAACTAAACACCATGACAAACAAGCAAGTTGGGGATGAAGGTTTTATCCAGCTTACACTTTACATTGCTGTTTATCACCAAAATGGTCAGGTCAGGGATTCAAGCAGGGAAGAAACCTGGAGGCAGAAGCTGATGCAGAGGATTGTGTGTGTGTGTGTGTGTGTGTGTGTGTGTGTGTGTGTGTGTGTTTGCTTCCCATGACTTGCTCAGCCTACTTTTCTTGAAAAACTCAGTACTATCAGACCAGGGATGGCACCACCCACATGGGCTGGGCCCTCCCACAAATTGAGAAACTACCTTATAGCTGGATCTCATGGAGGCATTTCCTCAACAGAGGCTCCTTCCTCTCTGATGACTCTAGCTTGTGTCAAGTTGACAGAAAACCAGGCAGTACACGGACATATTTTATTCCCACCACAGACTCAGGGTAAGTGGCCAGGTAAAGTCCCATGTCACCCAGAGTAAAGCCTGAAGCTAAGGGCAACAGTGCCTGCTTAAATGACATGACAAGTGAGAGAGGTTTTGAGCTGATAAAGGACACACCACAATTCTAACTTCCAGCTCCAGAATTGCTGCTGACAATCCTAGATTGCATGTCTTTTGATAATTATAATCTTAAGATATCCATCACTTAAAATAATGAATAATTTGATGATCCCAAGTTTAGGAGAAACTCCAGAGGAGAAGGGGAACAGCTATGCTCCAAAGCAGGTCTAGATCCTTGGCACAGACAGCCTCCCTCGATTTTCATCATGTTTGAGGTTCAGCCTCCTCTGTTTACAATAAAATCAAAACACTTGGTTTCCAAGGAGCAGGCTTGCAGGATCTCAGACATTGTCCCGGCACTTAGCAATGCCGTTTTCTCTACTAACACTGAGAAGCTGAGGGCATGGGAGCTGTCTCATAGAGTACACTCGATCTGTGCTTGAGGAGCTGTAGGCTGTTGATGAGGAAACTCTATGGTGCTCGCTGGCTATTTATGTATTTATGTACTTTCTAGCTTTTACTTTTTGGTGGAGTCTGTTGGTTTAATTTTGTCATTCAATCCTTTTGTAAATGTATAGTCTAATTGAGTGATTCTTTTATTCCGAGAGCAAAGACCGCCCATTTAAAATTGAAATTACATGGATCTTACAAAAACAACAAACAAAAATTTTGTATATATTATTAGAAGACAAATAATGGC